TGCTTGAGAGTTGACTTGATTAGGCCAAGTGATTAAGAAATTTGTATAGCTAGAGCGTGGGATGATCAAAACATTGAAGGTTGTTTGTGTAGAATAAATAGTTGAATGAATTGGAACCCGTTTGAGTGTTAAAATGTTTGTATTTTGTCAAACATGTGATGAAATAATCCAGTAGTTTCGACATTTGCTTTTGTAAGAAATTTCTAGCAATTATAAAGAATCAACGATGGTTCTATATGGTACGGTCAACCATCCACTTGATAGCTCTAATTTTATCCAACTCAACGCCAATAGCTTGAAGATTCAATCTTTTTGTGCTTGGGCCCTACCATTCTTGAAAGCATTAAAAGATTTATTTGTGATGTTTTGTAATAGTTCTTCAAAGAACTTTATTTACGAAGCCTTAATCTTCTTTTTAAAAGACATATACAGAAATCTCCTTGCTTTATAGATCAAGTCTAATCCAAATTTAGGCATTTGTAGATCTTTCAATGCTTTTCAAATCATACTCTATTTAATTTGGAGGACCTTGCTTGATCATCGATTACCATTATGTCGTTTATGTCCTTGAGGGTGAGAATATTGCACCTTTCTCCATCTGTTCTTAAGTGACAAACTGAATTCCTCATTTTACTAACCAAAGAATATTATAATTATAGGTTTTAAAAGATATTACTTTTAAATTACATGCTTGTTTTTCCTCGAAGCCATATCAAATCTAAAAGATGAGATTAGTATATCAAAATGGACAGCTGGAAAAAAAAGGAAACCAGTGAATTTTTGAAAAGGCAGTTACTGTTTGCTCCCGTCTTGTCCAAATGGTTACCTACTAATCAATTTTTAAGGCCCTTTTAAGTTCAGAAGGAAGTTTCACTCCCAAAAGCAAACTATATTATATAGGAAGAGTTTTCAATCTTATAGCTTAGTAAAATGTTTGTTAACTTAAAGAGCTGTTCGGTCTAAGAATTCTAAACATGAAATCGACTTTTTCAATGATATTCTTAAATATGCATCTCAAAGATATTTTTGACTTCAATTCCATGCAACCAATTGTACAAGTTCAACATGTTTATTTTAGTTCACCGATTTTTGAATCCTTTTTAGCTCAGCATATTACCGATGAGGAACCCAGCCTTGACACCACTAGTTAACTTCATTATTTCATCTGAGTTGAGTTTAAGATATCATTAAAGATTACGCCAATGCTTTTGTCTAATGAAGTGTCTAAACTTTAGAATGTTGTTAAACAACAGATGTTGTTTCTTGTAGATTATGTTGACTACAACACTCAAATATCTTTAGATGTAATAAATCCTTCAACTGATTTTCTCCAACTTATAATGATTATTGTTCTTTTTCACTTAATTTAAATGTTCTAATTCATCAATAGCGAGCAATCATTTTGAATAATAAACATTTCAATTGGTTAAATACTAAATTAGAAAAATATGATTTTGTCATTCTTCGTTTTTATTGTTTTAAATTAATTATGTAGGGGTCCTTTGTCTGTTCAAAATTTCGACATGCTCCCGACGTCCCACTTATGTAGGGGTCATTTGCCTTTTCCTCTTCCCGACCGGATCAAAAATATAACGGCGCAAGGTCTTTGTATAAGTTATTTCTCCTAGCTATATCAAAAAAATATGACAACGCGTGTCTTCTTTAGTTCTTATTTTTGTCCTGAAGTCTTAAAGATACGACGGACATAGGTTTTTCTTTACCTGTTGTTTAAGTAAGCAAGAAAGGAATTTATACATTTGAGTGTATGAAGAGAGATGATGACAGCAATAGGTTGAGCGACTGATGGTTTCTTGAGTGCTGTCAAGTCGGATAGGAGAGAAAGATCGGTTGGGTCGGATAGGTACAAGAAGTATAGTAGGGTTGGTGGCGAGGTCGATCTGCTTTGGTCATGCGATCAGTCGAGCTGTGGCTGGGATCGAGTCGTGGGAGGCTGGGTCGAAATCGCTATCGGGTCTGGTTGGGTCGCTCGTGTGCAGGAAGGAGTCGAATCGGGCGGGTCGAAGGTCGGGTGCGGGTGAGGCCGACGAGTGTTGACTTGGGTAGCATTGAGCACGAATCGAGCAAGATGAGTCAGATGGTTGGAGGTCGGGACGGGTCTAGATCACAATACAACAGACAGGCCTAGAGTTAGAGACGCAGAAGAGAGCGTTGGAGCGGGTGTCGAGTCAAAGGTGCAAGTAGCGTGAGGGACAGAGGTGTGGGTTGCCTGTGGCGGATCGAGATGGAGGCACAGGCGGGACGAGGCGAAGGTTGCATGTGGGATGGAGGAGTCGAGCAGGGCTTCTTCATTTGGGATCCTGCATGCGGCAGATAGATAACGAGAGGGAGGAAGTTCAAGAGCCTCGGGGTTCCTGTGTGCATTATTGAATTAAAACGAGAGAGAGAGAGAGAGAGAGAGAGAGAGAGAGAGAGAGAGAGAGAGAGAGAGAGGCGAGCACGAGAGTGTCAAATGGATCCAGGACAATTCCTGCAAGTGGTATAAAGGAAATGAGAGAGTGGGCGAGATGATTCGGTCTCATCGCCAAAATTTTATTATTCTATTTTAATAGCCAAAATTTTGTTCATAAATCATTACAGGTATCACCGCCGACTTATAAAATTTTTCCTTAAGTTTGAAGGGTACTTTTCTATCACACAATAGGCCTGATCAAATCCTCCATTTCAACCATCCAACTTCATAGATCCTCGAAATCGGTAATTTTTGCTATCATCGAATTCTATAAATATCTATTTCACCATCACTTTGAACAATATACCTTAGATATCTAAAATGTGCAATAACTTTATCACCCAATGTCACAATCCCACCATTAGATCTATTAATATTAAAATCATAATTCATATATTCGGTTTTAGACCTACTCAAATGGAAATATTTAGACTCTACGGTTGACCTCCATAATTTAAGTTTTTCATCAACTCCCTCTCTATTCTTATCAACAATAAGAATATCATCAACAAAAAGCATATGCCAAGGTACATCCTCTTGCAAAATGCTAGTAAGAACATCCGTGACTAAAGCAAAAAAATATATGGGCTTAAACTTGATCCTTGATGTAATCCAATGAAATGGAAAAATTCTTGGTCAAACCAAGTTGTGTTTTAACACTATTAACAGCTCCAATATACATATCCTTGATGACTTCAATATAAGAACTATTAACTCATTTCTTTTCTAGAACTCTCTAGAGTACTTCTCTTAAAATTTTCTAAATCAATAAATATCATGTGTAGATCCTCCTTACTCTCTCTATACTTTTCCATCAAATCTCTGAGCAAATGTATAGCTTTCATGCTAAATCTACATAGCATGAACTCAAACTGATTTTGAGAAATATTATTATGACGTTGTAACCTATGTTCAATTATTATCTCAAATAATTTTAATGACACGCGAACTTAACTCCTCTATAATTTGCACACTATTATGCATCACATTTATTCTTAAAAATAAGAATCAACACGCTTTCTCCACATATGAGGCATTTTTAAAGTCTTTAAAATAATATTAAAAAGTTTAGTAAGACAAAAAATTCCTTGATCTCCCAAGCATTTCCACATTTTGATTGGAACATCAGGTCCTACTACTTTTTCACACTTCACTTTTTTAAAGCCTCTTCAACTTCAATTTTACTAATAAGATAATAAAAATTAAAAAAAATCTTGATTTTCATTTAAGGTGCTAAGGTCACTAAAGTCAATTGTATTCACATAACCTTCATTGAAAAGTTTATCGAAATATCTCATCCACTTATATTGAATATCCTCATATCTCTTTACTTGGCTAACTTATAAATATCTTTCGTCTTACTTAGTATTTAATCTATTATATAGATCATTAAAAGTTAAATTATTTACATCACATATTACTTTCTTAAACTCCCTACAAGCCCTCTATATCTATCCGAATTTTCCAAACTTTTATATTTAAACAATTTTTTATAACAAGTTTCGTATGTTTTATCTTCTCTTACACATATTGATTCCACCAATTATTTTTATTATAAGTTTTTTAGTTTAATTCTACAAACACGTATTTTGTAACATTCTAAATCTCACTAACTCTTTTTTTCTACATAATAGTAGCTTTCTCATGAAAAATACAAATAATAAACTCTCGAATCTTATTCTCAAAAATATTTTTCTTAGCATTTTTTTTAAATAATCTTATCTAATTTTAGAATAATATTTTACTTTATTTTTCATTTTATATCCTTCATCTTAAAATCCAAAACTAATAAGTGATGTTGGGTACCTTTTACTCGAAATGACTTTACAATCTTTATAAACCCTAAAGAATCAAAATAAGAAGAAATGACGAATAATTTGCAAACCCTCAAAATAGAATTATCTATGGAGGAAAAAGTACTACCACAGTAAGCAACAAATGAAATGCAAGAGTCAGAAAGAATAAAAAGCTAACTTGAACAACATTGACATAATTTTTGCAAATCTAATGTACTTCCTGCACTAACAGTAAAAAATTCTGTATGCAACAGATATGCTCATCTACCATATCAAGATCAGGCTAAAAATTAACACATGAACACATTTCTTGACAGGAAAGAAAACTGCACTTTCTTTTTTTTTTCTTTCATGATTCCACAACAGATACTTCAGTTTAAACAGAAACATAGGAAATATATTATTGTTTAAAAAATATTAGTTAGCTGCATCACTTGTAGCAGTTATTCCCTGAGTTGTCTTGCAACACAATAATGATTGCGATATCATCAAATCATGGCCATATAAAATACTTGCTCGCATGCTTTACTAGTATTGAAACAATTAACTAGCCTAGGTGATGTGTTCGGCTATATCAGCCCGCAAGTTTCGTACTACTTACAAAATCAGGTCTCCTATTAATTTATTCTAAATTTTTATCTCCTTTAACTTTTTCTATGGCCATAAGGATGAGAACTCCAATAATTAAAGCTTCAAGAACCTGACATGAAGATGATCGAGTGTTAATTATTTACCAACCCAGCCGAACACTTTGATTGCAACCATTTTGAAAGTTTCTTATGAGAAGATCTTTTAATGTCCAATGTGATGCCAGCTGGTCTGCAAGCCAATACGTGGTTTGACCTAGAACAAAAAGCATCGAGAAGCACTTCAACAACTAATAGATTAATGACATTAAATAAAACACAATAGTTCAACTACAAGAAGAGTTCAACTAAGCCCGTAACATGTCCAACTGATTGTGTTTGTTATTCTTCTGATTATAATTAAGGGAATCGCGTAAATTGAGTTATAAATTGATTAAATTCCAGTTAGTTGTGTTTACAATGCTACTTTATCAACACATATTGCCGAATTAGTGAACGCTTAAAATACTTCCAAAGACTTAACGGAACTTCCATGTCCTAACAGGCACAAGCAGCAATAAAGTTGTACAAAAATAAGTATAAAGAAGCCAAAAGCGGAACGGTTATTTCTGCCTCTCCCGGAAGCAAAAGTAGAAAAACTAAAAGCAAGAGAAAAACTTGATGAGGACATCAGTAGGAGATTCCGGAATGTCTACCGCCGGAAGCATCGTAGATCGACAGCTATGATGAGGAGTTTATATATTTGATATATTTTATGTATTAGTTCAGATTTACTATATTTGATATATCTAAATTAGAAAAATTCCTAAATCTAAGCCCAAATTAATTCTAATTGGGATTGAATTTCTTTATTTCTTTTCAAAGTGAGATATTGAAATTAGGAGCATTAACTTTTCCCTCCCAATCCCCTATTTCCCTAAGCATGCCGCCAGCCACACCCTAGCTCCTCTCTCTCTCTTCCCACGTGAAACCCCACCAAGCTTTGAATTTGAAATTCAAATTCAAAATCCCAAGTTTCCTTCTCTCAATTAATTCCAAATCTGAAATCAAATTCAGATTTATTGCTCTTTCCTCCTAATCAAACCCTAATTCCTAACTTGGCCAAGTAATCCCCTCCCCTTTCTTGGCCGACTTACCCCTTCTCCCCTCTCTCTTGGAATTTCTCTTCTCATGAGTTTAATCTCTACAAGGAGAAAGAAGACAACCTCCCCCAAGTCTTTTGCTAGAGCATGGCCGATCCCGACGTTGACCATGGCTTCGAATATGATAATCAAGGAAGAGCGGACATTCTTCGATTTGAACTTGAAGGTTGACGAAACCATCACAGGATACGTCGATTGCATTACATTTTCATTAGCCCCTTCCATCGAAGAGCATCTTCCCTCCGGACGTTGGCAGATCACCGGTCGTCTACACACAACCCCTCCTCCGACTAGCTTTCATTGGATCTCTACCCTCGGCTTCCTCTCCTTTGTAGTGGCATCTTCCGGATTGTGGCGACTCTTCTTCCGCTAAAACCCTTAAGGAGTGTGAGTGAGGGAAACTCGAGGTGACTTTTCTCTTTGTTACGTGGTGGATTGTTAGTTTATTGCACTAACGTTTTCATTATATAATTGATATTATTTTGAGATCTTGTTATTCTATAGTGTACTTACTTGTCATATCAAATTAAACAATTTTAAATTCGTAAAATCTTTTCAAAGTGAAACATTAGTTGAAGTTACAACACCTAATTCAATCTCTATAAATTTCTACGTGCAATTCTAATCAATTTCACATCAAAACTACCTTAAATTAATGCTCAAAACAGTGATGCTGGTTACAGGGAGCAAGAGAAGGGATGCTTGCTTTTATCCAATTAATGATGAGAAAGCTGACAAAATTATAGTACTTTTAAGAAACAAAAATAATAATATTTTCCCCAAATAAAATTTTATGAACAAAACAGCATTTGTTGAAAGAGAGAATCTAGCTAAATACCAAAATAAATAAAAACGTCTAGCGCAGAACTATGACAGAAAGAGCAGGATTTTCTAGGCATACAGTTCAACTATATTAGAAATCTTAACCACGAAGCAGCAAAATAGAACAACATTTTTTTGCTATCAAATAAAAATTTACTAGGAAAAGCCTTAGATGTTGCATACTGTTTGGTACGTTGAGATTTGCTATATTATGCTATTAACAAATGTCGGCTGTATGGTTTACTAACGTTTTTAAATAACAATTTCATAAATGATGCTCAAGTCATGTTTTTTGTGAAATCTATATATCAAGCTATCTAATGGCTAAAAAATCACAAAAGCAAAGGTCATATTAGGTTGAATTTTTAAAAGGCATCACACTCTGTATGCAACATAAATAAAATGATCAATAAAAAGAGTTTAATAGATATACAAGTACCAGATAGCATACACCCCCGTATAGAAACAGACAATGAAAAGAAACATTTATTTCGAAGAACAGAATTGCAGGTTGGCTGGGTAAGAATTTGAGTGCAAATTCAAAGACCGTTAAAATTTAAAACCATATACAAGCAAATAGACATTTCTAAATGCATGGCTTGAGCACAAAAATTAACATGCATGCATGTACAACATCCCTGGCATGCATGCGGGCATCATCTCACCTAATTTAGGTATAAATCCACATTAGGAATAGAACCACAAAATTTTGAACAATGAAAAAAATTCAGACATTTTAACCCATTTTATGACCACAGGTTAATTAATAATTACTGTACCAGGCTATTTATAACAAGGAAACCGAGACATCATTAGTTAAAGAGCAAAAATTCAAGTATGAAATAATCTAATGGGTAAGCTATCCAAGAACTACCAATTTGATTAAGTGGAGTGGAGGCCAGGGGGGTAGCCCGCTCACAATTTTCTCTATTCCCCCTTTCACCGCTTCAGCTTTTAAAAGAACAAATGGAAGTTTGCTGGGTGCTAGGAAGTTTTTCTGTGAATTTAGTTCATATGTTCCAGATACAGCAGTTTGGTAGGCTACATAATGGGAATAAAAAGGAAAGAAAAAGTTAAATACCAAAGTATACTTCCAGACAATGGAAGGTCTTTATCTTTGACAGTCGTATGCAATGCTTGCAAGAGGCATTTATCCAATAGAGCATCTATTTCATTTGATTGTCCCACATGACCCCTTACTTCATTTTGTTCTTCAGCTGAGACACTCACTGACACATTTAACCTCGCCATATCAGCAGCCATTTCCCCCAAGTCATCATTCTTAGAATCACCATGCAGAGAATCAGCGTCTTCTTCAGCATGGACAACTGGAATATCAAGCAGCTGCTCATTTTTGTCAATGACAGTATCAAGTGCATCATTTAAAGTATCTCCAGAAGCATCAGATGTGTGAGAAGTTGTACATAAAGCAGGATCTTCTATGACAATATCCTCCAGGAATCCCCCATTTGGAATATAGCGACCTTCAGCCAATTCCCTAAAAATGGAAGATATGACTGCTAAGACCATCTACAATTGCTAAGAAATTAACTAAATATCTATTACTTATGCTGAAAGCACTTGCCACAGAAAGTCACGATAATAATGCAAGACACGCAAAGCTTTGCCACGCAAACCAGCTTTTAGGGCGTCCGCACTGCTCATCATGGTAGTCCCGACCTGCTCAAATCACGAGCTCCGCAATAAAATGAACTGTTAGAGCGTAATGTATAGAGCAAGAAAAATATCAATTTTGAACAAGGCCATATTCTAACTTGAATGTTGAATGGCTAGAAACACTTACGGCAATAGGCGCTGCATTGCCAGGGACTTTCACCGCCCAAGGTTGACCTGCTAGGAAAGATGGAAAGCCCTCTGAAGGTATGCTAATACCAGGAAACATCAAATCAGCGCCTCCAATAACAAAACGAGAAACTTCACCACCTTTGAGCACAAAAGCAGGTAGTAGTTCGGGGACAATCCAGAGTGCATATACTGGGATATTAGGGAAAAATCAGTAGATTTTTGAAGGAAATGTCTGTTGAAATCATATTGTGGACAAGAATCGAGAAAATTGATTGGGATGGTATTAATTAGTATAGGACTGTGCGTATGAGACGGCACTAAGATGGTAAAAATAATGTGAAATACAATGCAAGACGGCTAAGAACAAATTTTAATGTTTAGGAATAAGGAATTGTTTGAAAGGATTTATTCGCTAAGAGAAACTTAATGCTGATCTTAGCAAGAAAAAGATGTAGAGGGATCCATACAAGCTGATTGCAAATAGAAAATGTTAATGATGACGAGTATTCTTCTGATTGCAAACTTTCCCAAAAAGATGAGAACAAATTGGTAAACAAGTAAACAACAAAATTAATAGCAAGGCAGACAAATAAACAGTACATTAAAGCACAAAAATATTGAAATAAATTTAGAATTGAAAATTCAAAATAAGTATGTTAACCTAAGTTATCCAAAACTGATATATGATATTGACAGATCTCAGAAGAAACGACTGAGCAATAATATTCGATTTGGCAATTCTTGAATCATATGTAAAAGATAAAACCGATTATCAAGGATAAACTAGAAAAATAGCAGCATTAAGATAAAACAGAAAAAAAAATACTATTTGGAAATTGGTGGAAATATTTTCTATCACACTAACTTTTCTAGGTTTCCACAGTTGTCATGATTGAAAAAATATTTGGAAATTGGTGGAAATATTTTCTATCACACTAACTTTTTTAGGTTTCCACAGTTGTCATGATTGAAAAAATATTTGGAAATTGGTAGAAATATTTTCTATCACACTAACGAAACTTTTCAAATCACTTTAAAAAATCATATTTAAAACACCTAATGGAAAGGCAACCTCTTCAGAATCAAATAGGATGCCCTTTACTCCTATGAACTACAAGCACTTCGAGAGGGTTTCTTTTTAATGTTGGAAGGCCACTCTAGGATATCATGTCGGAGCCTCAATTGATGTCATAATTTTTAATTTTTCTAAAATTCAGTTAGTTCATAGAAACCTATTGGACACTTTTTAAACAGCTCTTCACACATCATAAGCATGAATATGACACATTACACAAACAATGTCAGCCTAATTATAAGAATGATGATTTCTCATAATTGATTTAGCCTCCTATAATATCCTGACAAGTATAATTTTATTCCTATTACCAAGATTCAAATTATAATGCTCTTATCATTGTGAAAGAGGGGATTTGTCATATTTAATACTATTAATGCATCTACATTGAAACTTGTGTCCAAACCACAATCCTCTCCTATGTTCTTAAAAATTGTGCCCCGTATCCAATGTGTTCATGCTCCGTGCTCCCACTTTTGTTTCAGATCTCATGTGTCCCTTACTCCCTCTTCATGAAAGATAGATGAACTCATAAAAACTCAATTAGAAGACAGAAATTCATCGAAATAGAATAACCATATACTTTAAAGGTAGAACAAAAGCAACTATTAAGCAAAGATATGAACATGTAAGTACGGGCCAGATGTTCAAGACCTGTTGGAAATATGTCATTGTCTCTGCCATCCACATCAAAAAGCACTGGAAGTCCTCCCTCAACTCCATATATATGTACACGGTTTGGAAGCTTCGCCACTGTTATCTCTGCCTAGATAAAGACATAACACATGTTGAAAACAACCTAGGCACAGTAAGCATCAACAATGTCCATCCAAGCAAAACCGTTAGAAGAAAAATAGATCAATTATAACAACTGCACCAGCAATTCAATATGATAAATAGGAAGAAAATAACTGTAGATTTTCATAGGATTATCAGGACATAATTGATCATAGCATTAAATATATCGAGTAACAAATCATAGACAACATATGAGACTGCCAGCTGCCTGCAAACTTAAAAGCTGTAATTCATTACAATATATACGTTATATCCTATGACATCATTTAATCTCTTTTAGAATAAAGGGAATTAATTTTCCGTTCACCAACAAGTTGCGCCAGTACAAATACTTTGTTAAGAGGCCTGTATCTACTAAATAATAACAATAATATTAATAGCATGTATTATATTAAAGAAGCTTAATTTTTCCATAAACCAATAAATCACACCAGCAAAATTACTTCATTGATACATTCCTTTGAATCATTGTTTAATGATAATAACAACATTACTAATAACAGTAACTTCTAAAAGCAGGTTAAAATGTATCTAAAAAAATTTCAACTCCATAAAAAAAAAATGGAAGATAAGGGAAATGATTCTAACTCTTTCCTTGAACACCTATTTGATTTATTTCTTATTTAAACTTACAGCTTCCGCAACACCGCTAATCTGTAAACCTTCATCCTCTTCTAAGGATGGCAACACCAACCTATAATTACATTTTATTGCTATATGTGTTCTACACCATTTGCAGTCACAACATTTTCAATATTTTTTTCCACCACAATAATTTAAAAAAAAAGGAAGCACCGTGATTGAAAACCTCGGCTAGATGATTCTACGTTGATTTCACTAGAGAATTTATCACTAATAGCTATAAGTTGCTATACAGAATATGCACTTCTTCCACATATCGCCTGCTTACCACCCATCATCCCTTGACCAATTCTTCCCTCTAGGTTTTTGTTGGCTTCTCCCCAACAAAGTGGAGTAAAGTTGAGCACATGATAAAAAGATGATAACACAGTCGTCTTCTCTTTTACTATAAGTAGAATAATAGCTGACAAAAGGTAACGCAAAGAAAATAAAAGCTAGACTATACTTACATTCGATAACCAGGTACTGAGTGACACATAAGCCTATACGTTAATTAACAACTTAAGTAATAGATATTTAATGTTGTAATAGATATTTCATGTTGAATTATAACGGTAAGAAATAAAGGTTCAAACACAAATATGGCAAAAAGATGGGATTAAGTGGGCTGCTTCTATGGGATGTATCAATTATCTCCCATTTTAAAAGAACTCAACCCAAGTTTAGTGGTGTAACATTTATAAATCATGTCTTCCTAAAGCCAATGGTAGACCGACATGTGGCACGCATTCAAGCCTCCAATATTCAATAGGTCCCTTCAATAAGGCACTAAAGAAGGTCATCAAGGCATACTCTAGAAGGGTCTTCAGGAAAGCTCTTGGTCCATGCAATTGTGCCATTCTCACTCAGATTCACTGTTCGCAACCAATCGCACTTGTTCATCCAATAATCAATAGATATGAGCAACTTCTTATGTTCAAAGAAGTCCACTAGATTCGGTCAAATGAAATAACTCCTTCAGAGAAACACAAAAGGTTGGAGTAGCTCAAATGGAAGATAAGATTAGAGAGAGTCGGCTTAGATGGTTTGGTCACATAAAATGGCAGCCTTCCGATGACCCAGTTAGGAGAGTAGATTTATTAGATTTGGCTTATGTTAAGAAAAGTAGAGGTAGACCTAAAAAGACTTGATTAAAAAATATTAGAAATGACATTTCTTTATTAGATTTAAATGAGAATTTGATTCTTAACAGGATACAATGGAGACAAAGGATTCATGTAGCCGACCATACGTTGTGGGATAAAGGTTGATGTTGTTGTTGTTGTTGTTGCTACTGGAGAAACACAAAAGGTTAATATATCCATATCCGTATTTTTGTGAAGGGATTCCTAAATTAATATTGCTTTTATCTGACTTTTATAAATTTAATGAGAAAGTGCTTCAATAAAGTATGATTTGCTATATTTGTGAGAAAACATTTAGCAGCATGCTTTTTTGACTATTTTAATGTAATGTCCCAGCTCATATAAAATACTTTTTTTTTTATTTCTCTTTGTTGGGGGCACATATGATTATTAACTTGTTATTCATGATACCATAAATTGAAAACCTCAGAAAGTCTCCAACATCAATGGCCCTATCAAACAACTTGAGGGGCGTTTGTGCAGTTTATGAAGGTCCCTCTTCATGTAGCATTTGTATCTCACCTTCAACGATGTAAGTACATGAAAATTGCTGTTTATACTGTGGTGCTAGAGATCTTCACAAGCTTCAAGAACGTGTTCTAACCGCCTTTGCGGCTGAAAGCTAGTGGGATAGATGGCTTTGATGAGGGTTCAAAAAAATTCACATGCAATTGACAATACTACGAATTCGTGTTCTAATCGCCTTTGCGGCTGAAAGCTAGTGGGTTAGATGGCTTTGATGAGGGAATGAGAACATGACCAAGTTTTTCTAAGCTGAGTGGATGAGTGAGAGGTTAGAGTGAGTTCATGAAACTAATTTTCATGAGATGTAGCGTTTGATAACTAGGTATTTCTCACAAATAATATATAGGTGTCAAATGAGAGATGTTAAAAGAAGTTGAAAATTCTGCTGACAATTATGTTTGAATGAATCCTGAAGTTTTCATCTTTCTCAATCCACATGAAACTATAAGAACCACTCTACCTTTGAATGTCAGCAAGAAAATGGATGAAACTATTTTTTGTCAATCATGTCTGCAAGGGGTTGTTTGTTTGTTCTTTGTTGCTTACAACATGAATACAATGTGATCTTTTAAACCATATCCAAGCATTCCAAATTAACATGGAAACTGCTATTATGCACTATTTTTCGATGAATTATACCAGTAACTTGAGCCAGCCAACCTAAAGGGTTGTCAATATGACATTACTGACAAAGGGTACATTCCATCCACACAATCTTATGTTCAAAACGTTATAACAACTAAGAAACTCAAAACGCCTAACTCTTATCCTTAACCCAATTCTTGCAAATCAAATCCATTCTATGCTAATTATTTTGCAGGGTTTTTATGAAATAGATTCATGTACTCATCATAAATGGGACCTTGACAATGAAATGTTCCCAACATTTGCATTTAGGTGAAATTCTGCAGGTTGATGTGAATCTACCCATTCTACATCTTGATGTTAAAATAAATCATAACTAAAGGTTTTCTCTCACATGCAATGCAAATGTCAATTAAAGGAGAATGGATTCCTAAGTGAAAAGCGGGATTCATGCCGAAGAACCATTTTTCTTGAGCGAACAACAGTAAAAAAAAAGACGTACTACACTTAAGCACTATATTTGATTATTGTGAACCATACTATATAAAAGGATACAAAGAGACATTATGAGCCACAATAATTGAAGTATTACAAAAATCAAATAGATGAGTGCGTCAAAGTCATAATAAAGGTTGTTTATAATGGTTTCTACTTCATTTTCTATAAATAGAAGCATGGCATAACTAAATAGCTCCCAACTGACAGATGAAGATTAGGTTAGACTATCCCGCTTAAATTCTTCTCTATTGAGCAAATTTACAAGTATTAAAAAGCTCCTTTTACCCACACTTCCAGCAGATCCTGTAAGATGAGCCTCCACAAGAAATCAACTTCCGGTAAACATGATCCTTTTCACATCCTCCTCATATGAACTGCATAAGGTTTACTCTAACTGTGATTGAACAAAAGAAGAAATGTATCAAGTATTGACTGACGAGTTGCGGCATCTGCTTTTATGAGAGCTAAGTTGGAGTGGAATGATTTTTCCTTAATGTTGACATAGTAACACATCGGCATCCTCCTTTTACCTCTTCTTGTCTAAAAAGGGTTACTTATGCTCTTAGTTCTTCTACGAGGTCAAATGCGGTCTATAAATCTTCTTAGTTCCTTTCTTCCCATTCATTGAGCTCATCTTTGTAAAAGCTGGTGACAACAACCACTCGTTGGTTGTGAGTTCGAGTTCAACTCGGAGTAGGGCGTCAACACTGTGAGAGAACGAGAATGGTGTCTGACTTGTGGCTAAGGGAAGAGTCGTTCTTAATGCCCATAAGATTGAAGGGAGTTGGAGTGCTTTGACCCATTTGCCTTTGGTTCCTTCCACCTTACTCAAAATATTTAGTATTATCTTGTTTGCTACTTATTCTTATCCATTTGTTTGTTGGTAGTAAACTAAGGCAAACTTAAAGCGAATGCCTTTTGATTTGCAAAAGTCCCTGATCTTCTTGCCAGTGAATTGTGGTGTGCTGTCAGTTATTATAGTGAGTGGAAAAACATAGCTGCAATTGATGTCTGATCATAGAAATTTTTTAGAAGCTTCAACAGTAGCCTTGGCGAGTGCCTTTGTTTCTATCCACTTGCTGAAGTTATCCACCATCACCAAGATAAATTTTCTCTGTCCACTCGATGGTGGGAATGAGCTAATGAGATCCATCCCCCATACCACAAACGACCAAGGATTGTTGATAAGCTAAAGATTATGACATGGCTATAATTGTATGTGATTTCTACCAATGCAAGCATCTCTTTCAGAACTTTCACACGTTTCTTTCAAAGAGTTAGCCAGAAGTACCATTCTCACAGAATTCTATGGGTGAGTGTCCTTCCTCCTAAGTCATTTCTACACTTGCCTGAGTACACTTCTCTGGGTATTATTTCCTTCCCGTCTTCTCTCACGCATCACAAGTTGAGGGAGGTCGCCAACCTCCTGAAAAAATCACCTGCATTTATTTAATATTGCTCGACTTTTATTTTGAATCACCTTAGGTCAATGATTTCAAAGCTTATCTTGTTTGTCTTAAGGTATTCCAATTATGGATTTATCCAACTCGCCAAGCGGTCAATCTTCAAATTCGACTCGTTGTCTTCACCCTGAAGAGATATTTCAACAACACCTCATCATGTAACTCATACTCGTCATTGAGTTACGATTAACTATGAATCAGAATAGACGACTTCAAGGCATCGTGAACCACCGAAGAGCGGATTCATTGAGGGTGGTAAAAAAAACCAACACTTCAAGGCATCATTGATGTGCGTGTTGTGATCAAATGGATCAGTCCTCCCTATATAGAGCTCCAAGCTAGGTAGTTTGAGTTTGAGAAGCGACCTCACCTTTACGATCTCCCTTGAAAATGCATTAGTCGTTTCCATCTCCTCTCTTCTTACTCGTCAAACGAGAGTTATATTCATCACTGATGCGGGTGCAAGTTGGTTTTGGATAGGTATGGAGGTGGCGCCCTAGTTTATGGTCTTCTTGGATGGACAACCAAGTTGAAGGATCCTTCTGGTGTGCTTTCCCTAAGATCGTTTCTTGGCAACCTTCCAAGTACATCTTGAAACAATTTCATGAGTCTTTATTCTATCTCAATAAGATCACAACGAGTGATGTACTTAGCTCTGGATGTTGTTATTCTTCAAGGAAGGCATCTTCGCATTAGGCATCAATCCATGATCATCACATATTTGAGGATGTTGGATCCAAAATTATATATGGATGATACCCAATTTATTAGCAAACAATCTTCTAGACAAGAACTTGAGAATTAAAAGCTCACTTGAGTATGGAGAATGAGTGGAGAAATAAGAAAGCTTAAAATATCTCGAAGTATCCGGAGGTACCAAAGAACAAAAAATGTTCAAAAAAATCCAAAATGTGCATATTCACCTCTTATTTATAGAGCCTAAAGCGGTACAAGAAAGTCTACATGAAATAAAAAATAATATGTTTGATATGGCCCATTACATACCATATAGAACACGTTTCATGGGGTGATGGGGATCCATGTATCAATTCAAGGGCGAGTCTTCATAGGCGAGTACACCATGTGAGTCTTCAAGATGATTCACATGAGTCAATTATGTATGAGCGGGTCCTCTAGAATCAAAGGTGCATCTCGAGAAACTTTTTGTGACCTCAGGGCACAAAATGGCGATTTACTTTGGGTGATGATATTTGCGAACTGAGCATAGACCAAGTCTAGTGGGTCGAGGCTAAAGACCCCCGTGACATGACTTCTTGTAGTTGTACGAGTCCTCAGGTACATTGTCTAGGTCTATTTATCGATCTGTTTAGATGAGATGAGTCATCCTCCATGCTAGCAAGTTCCTTAGGTGGGTAATGTTACTGCTTCAGACAAGTTCTTATTTGAACCTGTCAGGCACCTGTGAAATGCCTACATTGATATGTATGAGTACACATTGTGCTATTATGGATGAAATCCAATAATGTCTAGGGTTTTTTTGGTACAACATCATAAGCTCGCCTATTACATGTCAATGTCCATATCATTCCATGCTTATTAGGTGTAGAAAACTATGAGAAAATTCACATAACACAATTAAATATGCATTTACAGCTTCCAATATCCACAATTTGTAATAAAAATGCACTAGATTATGCATGACATGTTACAAGAGTAAAGAATTCTTTAGTCCCAACCTTAAGAGGAAGAAGAGCATCAATGTCAGCATCGGAAGCCAGAGGAAATCGTTCCTTGGTATTTCTTCTTAGCTTCTTCCTATCAGCACCGGACAAACGCTGCAGCGCTTTTGCCTCAATTGGCTTCTTGAACATGGCGAGTGGCGGAGAATGAGCAGCTGCAGTCATTGAGCATATATAAATCAAAACTTGAAAAGAAGATTAAAATAGGTACAGTTAAACGTTATCCGTGCACATAGTGGACTAAGTTGTTAACCAGAAACTAGAAAATCTTGGAATGCCAGCAAAAGCTAGCATCCTGGGAACGTTAGAAGCATCGGCAACCGCCACCAGGCCAGCCGTTCTATTACTTAATTGAATCAATACAAGGAATATAATTATCTAGAAAGAAATGATCAAATGTTCATAAATTATACAGAGTAGGTAATAAACTTAAGGCCATCAAGAAATCAAAATGAACAAATACAAAATCGAAAAACGCAGCAGGACGCACAGAAGGATCCCACCTGGGACCGGATTCTTGCGCCAACTGAGATAGAAGTCGAGCTTTCAGCTGCGATGCCACGCGACAGAGAGCGCGCGCGAGAGAAAGAGAGAGACTGATCTGGAGGCTGGACCCCTTCTCCCGTTGCAAAGGTTGTAAAAGGCCTAGGCTTGGATAAACTGAGGGGAAATCGGTATTGGGCAAACTGGTCACGATAAGCCACAGATTCACAGTTAGGGCTGCGTCAGTTAACTATGTAAGCTGAATTTGATTGTGATCCAACGTTTAGTTCATTTTTAGAGTAAGTCAAATTAGCTCAATTTTAAATGAGAATTATTTATATCACAAACAAATTAGCTTGATCATCGCCCATTATAAATGCCACCAGCTGCTTGCCGCCGCCACCATCCACTGCCGGCAATCATTATCACCACCCCCACCACCAGTAATCGTTGCCACCAGACAACTCCACCGTCGGTCAGCCCCCACCCCCACCGCTAATTACCACCATGGTCGACCGCCATCTATCGTCGTCGCCGTTGTCGCTAGCCAACACCCCCACCTAACACTAACACCATCTCCAACTACCACCGCCGCCATCCGCCATTGTCATTGCCCCACTTTGCCCCACCACCTCCCCCACCGGCTCTATCATTTTTGAACTTTACATTAATTGCTTCAAATAAAACAAAAAAAAATCATTTATTTGCATTTACTTTACATTAATCCAAACAACTTCAAAATATTTCTTTTACAATGCATTCCTTTTCTAACCAACCAAATAACCCCTTATAGTTTTATTAAATATTTTAACAAAGTTGTAACCAAACTTTAATTTTAGATTGATTAATTATATATTTAATGTAAATAATTTAATATATAGTTTAATTATCAAATATAATAAGATATGAAAATGTTGATTAAAGTTTATCTAATTGATTGGACATTATTTGAGCTATGTAGTTAAATTTAACATTAATAAGAATGTATTTTAATTAATATATCTAAATATTAATTTAATATTTTCTCTCATACATTATCTATAATAATATACATACTTTTCAAAATATATAAGATATAGAAGCTTCAAATAATGAAATAAAATAAACATCAAATATGCAATTAATTTATCATTAAATGGGTAGTTTAGCAAAATTTAAGTAGCTGATTGTTAGATAACAAATGTGCATGTTCATAAATATAAATGATAGGGAGACTTAATAATCAAATGTATTTAATTATATGATAAAGTTTTGAAATTTTATTTAAGCTTATTTAACTATGTAAACAAACAAACATAAATGATCATTATATTTAGGTATTCATCAAGTATGCTTCTTCACTTTGAGCACCATAAGTGAATTAAATTGTTAAATGCACATAACTTTCAAATTTGATGAATTTGAGTATACAAATTATGATTCTATAACTTTCAAAATGTGAGGCTAGATTTGGGTACTTTATAAGGATATTACTAAGTATCTTAAGCACTATGCTGAATGGGAAGATATTAGCTTCGTCCGCATTAAGTGGTTCGTACACTTGACCAAGACACATGGTATAAATTTTAATTGTGCTTTGTTATTGTCATTGTGATTGTATTATGTTGCATCAAATTTATAATTTGTTATATTATAACTATTTGTTGTGTTCTGGAATATTTGCGGTGGTAGAGAAATATAAAGTTTAACGTCTTAGCGTCGTACGAAGATTCAACACATAAACATATGAAAGAGGGGGTGTAGCATTCATGAGATATACCAGAACTTTTACGTTGAAAACTCTGGAAAGGAGAAAAATCACGGAGCCCAGCCCAGTTTGAATGAATCCACTAATGTTTACAATTGATTACAAATGAGGCTCTTCCTTAGGAGGAAGATATATTGGGTCGAAGTAGCAAATATACATCATATAGAATGCATTATATGATAGAAGTTGGAAGAATCAGTGTTGATATGTTCGTTTGGGTGACAGGACTATAGTCGGTTGCCAACGAAGGTCGGAAAGATCGTATTCGGGTGATGGTGGTCAGAAGGATCATAGTCGGCGGGAAATAGTGGTCGGAATGACCGTAGTCAGCAGGCGACGGAGGTCGGGAGGATCGTAGCCAACAGGAGACGAAGGTCGAGAGGACTGTAGTCAGCGCGCGTAGGAGACCAGGAGGATCCTAGTCAATACATGAAGAAGGTCTAAGTGGTTGGAAGAATCGTAATCGTCAAGCGACGGAGGTTGTGAGGACAGTAGTTGGCGGGCGACGGTGGTCGGTAGGACTATAGTCAACGAACGACGGAGGTCGAGAGGACCGTAGTCAGTGGGAGACGAAGGTCTTAGTGGTTGGAGGAACCGTAGTCGGCAGGCAACGAAGGTCAGGAAGACCGTAGTGGGCAGGCAGCGGAGGTCAGGAGGACTGTAGTTGGCGGGTGATGGATGTCTTAATGGTTGGAAAAATCATTGTCGGTGAGCGACGGAGGTCGGGAGGGACCGTAATAGGTGGGTGACGGTGGTCGGGAGGACCATTGTCCACGGGTAATGGAGGTCGGGAGGATCGTAGTCAGCGGACGACGGAGACCGGGAGGACCATAATCGGTGGGCAACGATGGTAAGAATGGTCGTAATTGGGCGAAGATGGTCGCGAGAAATGTAGTCGAGCAACGGTGGTCGGAAGGACCATAGTTGGTGATGTTGGTTAGAAGGATTGTATTAGGTGGGTGACGGTGGTCGAAAGGACCAATCGGCGGGCAACGGAGGCCAGGTGGACCGTAGTAGGCGGAAGACGAGGGTCATAAGAACTGTAGTTTACAGGCGACGTTGGTCAGAATGACCGTAGTTGGCTGGCGACCATGGTCCAAAAGATAGTAGTCGGCGGGCGACGGAGGTCGAAGGACTTAGTTAGCAGGTGATGGTGGTCGTAAAGAACTCCAACGGTGTTCAACAAAAAGGTAGAAGTTCGACGGTGGTTGGGAAGAACTCTAGTTATGGCCGATGAGCAGGCGGAAGTATGTTGGCAATCGACGAACGAGCGGGTAGTCTGACGATGATCGGAAAGAATTCTGGCGATGGTCAATGAACGAGAGAAAATCCAACGGTGGTCGGCGGACTGGTAGAAATTCATTGGTGGCTGAGAATAACTCTGAAGGTGTTCGATGAACCGGTAGAAATCCAATAGTGTTCGGCAAATTGGCGAAAGTTCGTCGGTAGTCGGGAAGAACTCCGGCGGTGGTCGGCATCAAGCGAGCTCCAAAATTCTTCTCTTATCTTCCTCCTTTCTCCTCCTCCTCTTCTCCCCTTTAATGTGAAGAATGACGGCCTATTTATAGGTTTTTCTTAGAGTGGCATGTCTTGTAAATATGAGGAAGATCAAGGTCAAGATGGGAGTGTTTTGAATGGACGGACGATAGTGATCCCCTTGATTGTGGACCGTTTAATGGTCATTTGAATGTCTTAATGATATTTGAATTCAATGATCTTAAGCTTGTTGGATTCATCTCGTCGAGCCGCTTAATTTGACTTTAAGCATGTCACGTTTGGAAACCGTTGGTAATTCAAATTATGGTTTGAACCATCTAAATGCGCTTTGGGCTTTGATTTGGACGTACTTGGGCTCGGATTGAGTCGAATTTGGTGTTGTTGGGTTCATATTTTTGAGACATTCAGTTCGATTGTAAATTTACTGAAATCAGAATTTAGATTGTCTCATATTTAATTTTGGAAGCTTTCAACTCAATTTTGCTTCGAGATTCGTGCCCGATCAAGATACTTTTTTGATGATATATCAACTATTATGATTATACTTTTTGTCATAATTGTTGGGATTTCACTTTATTATAATAAAGTTATAATCTAATGAGTTATATAACTATTATGAATGTACTTTAGCAAGTTATAGTTTTGCATTATTACTTATTTGAAGCTTATTTGAGCCATTTTTTTAATAATGTTCAAACATTGCTCGAATATGGTTCAAATCTTATTCATGTGTATTTAAAAAAAAAATTATATTGATCGAACTTTATTCAAACATGATTTAGTTAAGAACCAAATGCATGAATCTCTTTTTATATAAATAATTGATTATCATAAGAAAACTATTATTGCACAAAATAAATTAATTTATAATATACTACATACTATTTGAATTAACAATAATTAAATATATAATAGCATTAGTTGCTTGATAGATCATTACAAATTGAAAGATTGCCTTCTATGTTAAAGGCAATACATCAAATAATTATAGTTATGACAAAATATTGGCTAAAGTCTAAATCAAATGATCACACACACCATAAAATAAATAGAAAGTTTGTGCTAAAATTTATTTTATTATACATTTGAATGCATGCAGTCATAACACTTTGTAATACTAAAAGGCATATGTATAGTATAAAAGCAGCAAACAAATCATGCTTGAACATAGTTCAAATGAACTACTCTATGGTTTAAAATTTATGTATGCATAAATATACTCGTATAGGCGGATTAATATTATAGGATGTTGATATAAAGACAACAATGTTGATACTTGTGGGGATAATAAGATTAATGGAAAATATGCATCCATTAATTAATGTAAAAAATGATATTATCTATTAATCCCCCCTAATTAAGCATTTGCATTATTGCTTTTATATTAGGCTACTTTAACATCATCGTATAAATGAGTATATTTATGAAGATAGGAATTTGAATGTCGTTAAAGAACTGATTTGAATCATATTTGACAAAATATGAACCTCATTTAAACATAATTTGAATGATTTTTTAACTATGTTTTAACCAATTTTAAAGCTCAATCATGATGTTTGAACCATGCTTGAAAAATCTTTTGAGCATTATTTCACATAAATGGTCAAAACTTATGTTTGAAATGAATGTTCAATCTTTGTTTGAACAAGGATTGAACACATAATATGGTGTTCAATGCTTGTTTATTTTTAAATATAGGGTTTTTAGCTTCCCCATTGATATTCTAATAATATATATAGATTGAGGGCTACATTTATGCAATGCCCCTAAATATATTATCTGCTACATAGCCATCTATTCATTCGAAAATTTCAAAATAAAATATAAACAAAATTCTTTTCATACTTTCATTTATCCAAAGATCCAAAAAAATAACTTAAAATGCAATGATTTCAACAAAATATCTAAATAAATTATGAACTAGCAAAACAATAAGTACCTTATAAACTCAAAAACCCTGCTATCTCTCAAAAGTAGCCTA